CCCCCCCCCCCCCCCCCCCCCCCCCCCTTCTTAACAATAAAATGAACAGAATCCTATTGGGTTACAGGGAACCGAGAGGGCGTTGGATCATGAGAAGTTAAGAGCTATAAAGAAAAAACTAAGCAGGCAAAACAAATTAACAAGCAGCATTCATCCTTCCAGTCTTTTTGGGGGTCCAATTCTAAGTCACATAACCACTTCGAACTGGACTCAATGGTACATAACCTGGGCATGTATTGCATTCCACTTCTGTCATTGATAATAGTAAAGCCTAAGGGTCGCAAGATCGGCAAAGATGTCCAAGTACTAAAACTAGAAATTCAAAACCACACAGTGACTGCTGTATTAACTGTACAGAGCTGGGCCCACACTACCTCCCCTTGACACATAAAGTAAATACACTACAACAAATCTACTGGACAAAGGTCCCGTAGTCAGATCATTTACTGTATTTTTTGTACATCATAATAAAAAGCTAACATGTAGGTAGCAAGGCCACCCACAGTCTCTTAAATTTGGTCCAAAATAAAAAGTTTTGTGGATTTCAAACTCAGGGTTGTCATTATTCACTTGTGCATAATTTCCTCATGGTCACTTATCCAACAAACTTAGTTCACATTAAAACCGACAATTTTATTTTTACCAGTATTTGTTGTAGTTTTGACTGACCACCTAAAGATGACCACATCTTGGTGGTGAGCTTCCTAAAAATGACCACATTTTGAAAGCCCAACAGCCAATACTGCAACAAAATATGGTGAAACTGCTCAATTTTATTTCCACATTAACTCAGAAGACAAATTTAGGAAAGTCTAATTTCTCTTACTCTTTTTTTTTTGCAACCCTGATTTTGAGTTTCACAAATCTTAATGTTGATTTTGAGTTTTACTGTTCATCAAGTACTACCTATTCAATCCAAAAGAGTCATAGCATTTTTGCAGGCTAAAATTCACCTCAATCCTGGTTATTTGATCTCGGGATACAAGAAGTGTGGGGGGAAGGTGCATTTTGGCATCCCAAAAAAATTCCGATGGAGAGAGGGTCTTCATATTCTACTGGAGCTACCCGTCAAATCCCACCCTCCCCCACCCCCCGCCCCCAAAAAATGAACAGACTCTTATTTGTTTATGGGAGCTCTGAGAGGGCTTTGGTTCGTGACGTGTTGAGAGCTACAAAGGAAAAACTAAGCCGGTAAAACAAATTAACATGTAGCATTCATCCTTCTGGGCCGAGTTGTTCAAAGCTGGATTAAGATAACCCAGGGTTAGTGCGAGATTTGAATTCTGATTTGAAAGCTTAAAAGGCATTTCAGTTTTAGTTTTTGCTGTCTACAAGTTGATGATTAAAAGCTCTAAAAATAGCACAGAAAATTATCCGAGAAAATGCCTTTGAACACAAGAAAAAGAAACCCGGGTTAAATTTAACCCCGGGTTAGGCGCTAATCGGCCTTCGAACAACTGGGCCCTTTTCTTTTTTTGGGTCCAGATATTCTACATCAAATAACCACTTCGAACTGGACTCAATGGTACATAACCTGGGCATGTATTGCATTCCATTTCTGTCATTGATAATAGTAAAGCCTAAGGGTCGCACAATCGGCAAGGATGTCCAAGTAATAAAACTAGAAATTCAAAACCACACAGTGACTGCTGTATTAACTGTACAGAGCTGGGCCCACACTACCTCCCCTTGACACATAAAGTAAATACACTACAACAAATCTACTGGACAAAGGTCCCGTAGTCAGATCATTTAATGTATTTTTTGTACATCATAAAAAGCTAACATGTAGGTAGCAAGGCCACCCACAATACCTTAAATTTGGTCCAAAATAAAAAGTTTTGTGGATGTCAAACTCAGGGTTGTCATTATTCACTTGTACATAATTTCCTCATGGTCATTTATCCAACAAACTTAATTCACATTAAAACCGGCAATTTTATTTTTCCCAGTATTTGTTGTAGTTTTGACTGACCACCTAAAGATGACCACATGTTGGTGGTGAGCTTCCTAAAAATGACCACATTTTAAAAGTCCAACAGTCAATACCACAACAAAATATGGTGAAATCGCTTTGTATTTCATGAAGTTTGCAAATAAAAAACTCAGCAGAGAAATGAATGAATAATTTGTTTGCTGCCCCGTACGGAACATGCAGATCTGCAGACTGGTCTTTTTTTCGTCTGCTCAACCGTCTTCAGCAGGCCTGCAGATCACTTGCCTGAAATGTCTGCAGTTAGTATGCAGTTGGTCTGTATTAAGTGTGCAGTTCGATTTTATTTAGTCACGGAAAGGTGAACACAAAAAGTGGATCGGTTCTAAAAGTATCCCTTCACTGTCAGTGAGCTGCAAGTGAAAAGGTGAATGACAGACCTTTAGGTCTGCAGATTGACTGCAGCAAAGTGAATGGAGTATTAGATGTCAGCTAAAAATATACGAAGAAAACAACACGCTGCAAGCCAAAAGGTGACCTAAAGGTGACCTTTATTTAAGAATGGAAAGAGGCATCGAGAGAGTAACTTAAAATTATCTTTTTTAAAAATAAAGAGAATAACAGCGATTGCTCTTATACATAAAGTTTACACGGACAGCAGGCAAATGATATTTTGATTCGTTGCAACGGGCTAAGCTGGACATTGCTCACCTTGACGTTTTGTCCATGATCCACGATCTTCTACACTTTTTTCATGAAAGAAATCAACTCAATTTTACTTTGGTCGTCGTTAAATTTTACAATGGACTAAGGAACGAACATTACCACGAGCGTATTAGAATCTTGTAAGATGCGAATTACCCCATCTGAGATTCTTGTATCTGTGTTGCTTGCTCTGGTTCGATTCGTCGATACTTAGCGTAGAAGTCACTGTTCAGTGCGTTGTTTGCAAATACGTTTGAGCTGTTCCATCCAAAAACTTCAACAGAACTTTCATCTCGAAACAGAACTAGATGCAAAAACACTTAGAATGTTTGCGCCTTTCATTCAACGGTCGCAAATGTTTGGGATCCCGTGTTTGTCTAGAGATGTAATGGGATCTCATGTAAAAGGACCGACCAATTAGATAACGGCCTAGAATGTCTCCAGGGAATTAGCGATAACATTCCCACACTTGCCGGTCACGGAATAAAATTTATTGAAATCATAGAATTTGAAGGTTTATTCAATAAGTGATCTTCCTTGAGCACAAGCTTACTCACATTTCTTAGAGGTACAGTCAACGTTTTCGCGTTATAAAAGCCGTAATCTGTGCCAAGGCTTTATCTGGCAATTCATGTTATTGGCGCTCAAGAAAGTCAGATCGACCGCAGCTGAATAGACCTTTTGCATGCCGCGCGGGGACTGGTCACTGGAGGTATATGTCCGCCATCTTGGATTAAAGTGTGTGCAGCATGGTAAACAGTTGTTGTGTTCCGCTCTGCCATACTAAGTCAACGAGGGAAAAAGAACTGTCATTTCATCGTTTTCCAAAATGTGAGTTGATGAAGAAGGCATGGCTGGTAAAAATACGTCGTGATGAAGGAGAATCATTTACTGTATCGGAGCACACTCGAGTGTGTTCTCTTCATTTTACTGCGAGCGATTATCGAACAACACTTGGTGGCAAAACAGTTCTCAAGGACGATGCAGTTCCGTCAGTATTTTCCTGGGCAACACCAGTCAAACAGCGGTTGTCAAGGACAAGTTCATTTGGGCTTGGAAATGTGGGAGCGAAAGAACCATGCGAGAACTGTCAGGAGAAGGACCGTGATATCTCGCGGCTTGAGACAACGCTTCAAGAAAAGGATAATAAAATACAGGTTTTGATGTCTAATTTTCTAACGATGAAAAGAAGTTCTGAGAGTATGTTGTTTTCATTTAAACGATTTGATGGTAGTGATGACGATATCCACTTTTATACTGGCTTCCAAAATTCAGCCAGCTACAGAGAATTTATGACTTATGTTTTATGTCATGCTGAAGACATGAGTTACTGGAGCCCAAATGTTCATGGGACCTTGTCTAATAGTGTTGAGAATACACAAATGTCTAGTAAGAGTACAGGTTATACTGAGAGAGCTTTATCAAAGATGGATGAACTTTTTCTGACCCTTGTGAAACTACGTTTGGGTCTTCCTTTGCACCACGTTGCTAACTTATTCAACATTTCTAGTTCCACAGTTTCAAGGGTATTTACATCATGGATCAATTTGCTTTATTTTGTGTTGGGATCTATCAATTTCTGGTTGCCCAAACATGTCATTCAAGAAACAATGCCCGATAGCTTTAGGAAATTTCCTTCAACAAGGGTGATCCTTGATGCCACTGAATTCAAGATCCAGACACCTTCCTCTTTGTTGAGGCAATCTCAAGTTTTCTCACAGTATAAAAGTACCACTACAGCTAAAGCACTGTTGGGTATCGCACCTTCAGGTAGTGTTACATTTGTATCTCAGTTGTATACTGGAGGCATATCAGACAAGGAAATCACTAAACAGTCTGGAATTCTCTCATTGCTTGAAAGAGGAGACAATGTAATGGCTGATAGAGGTTTTGTTATAAATGACCTCCTTGAGCCTCTTGGGTGTACTTTGAATATACTTCCTTTCCTTAATAACCAGGGTCAGTTTACAGAAGATGAAGTAAAAGAGACTCAGGAAATCGCAAATGTGAGAATACATGTTGAGAGGGCAATAAGCAGAATCAAGACATTCAAAATCCTGCAAAATGTATTTGCTATTAATCAGACTGGTTTGCTTAATCAAATCTGGACAGTCTGTGCACTTTTGGTCAATTTTCAGACACCAATCATTGCACAAGACTCCTAAGAGAAACTTTGCTGACATCATCATTCAAGGAAATATCAAACATCAGAAACTGCAAAATTTTGTGGTGGTGAAAACATTAATGAGCCTTACATTGCTTATAAATTTCGACTTTTAAAAGAAGAATTTCTCCCACGATACTATTTGGAATATCAGGATCAAATCTCTGAGATCACCAACAATGTTAAGCTCCTTTATTGTACAGTGATTTGATTTTAATATCCTTAAGCCAAATTCACAAAGCCTCCTAAGCTAATGGATATCCTAAGTTTTGTCAAATGATAATAGCACTTTGTTATCAGACAATATTTAGGAGGTATCTTAGATTAGGAAGGTTTGTAAATCTGGCCTCTGATCAATGAGCATATTAGTGAAGCAAAATATGTAAACAAAAATTCACCCAAAAAAGGGGTTTCAGAAGGTGCCATTTTATTGCATTAATGATCTACTAACCAGCTGAAATAAAACTAAATTTTCCTGAAGTGTACTACTGCCAAGAAACAGCTAGTTGCTGCTCAATGTAAAATACCATAAGTTCAAACCATTTACAATGTAAAATTTAAACATACATGTCAATACAGAGTCACTGAGAAAAAGACCAAACAGCCCAGAGGGGCAAAACTGGTTTTCCAGACATCTCACAAAATTACTTTATAACCCTGTCAATACGATGACTTAGTATGTTGTTACAAGGTTATTCTACTACACGTGGCTTTTCTTGAATTGATAACAAGTCAGCACCCTCTTCTTGTAAGAAACTCGTAAAAATTTTCAAAATAGAAATTGGTTAATTTGGATAGCACATCATTCCACAAAGTTTCATCAAACAGAATTCTTTGTTGAAAGAAATCTACACCAGTCCAAACACAAAAGTCGCACCATTTCATCCCAGTCACCCCCATGAGGCCTTGGACTTGATAATAGTAGTTGTGATTTTCTTTTAATTTAATGCCATGGTCTGTTTGTTTTAAGTAAAATTGCTTATTTTCTTTAATAACGTCAACAATTTTCTTACCCGCACCACAAAATGGACATTTTGCTTCAAACAGCCCAAAGGGATTTTCTTCCATAGAAGGGTCATAGACAACACCATCTGGGGAGGCCCCCAACCAACAGAATGCTGGGTTAACCACCAGTCCACTCTTGTAGAGTTTTGTATTATTTCCAGAGTCAAGATATGCTTTTGCAGCCCTAATCTCGTTAGTCAAACCATATTTCATAGCTGGTGTTTGGATTGTTTTTCCTTCAAAAAGTTCCTTCAGAAACTTTTCTGTGACAGCCGCCTTTCTTTTGAAAACCTGACCAAACTGAGATGCCGTGATGCGCTTGGCTCTCTCTAATTTCCACTTTGCGCTTCCAGACTGCTCTCTCGTGCCAGATTCAAGTTTTGATGCATCTTCTAGTGACAAGGTAATGAAAGTAAGATCTATATTTTGAAATCCATGTACATATTCACTCCAGCCATCACTGAGCACAGGGAGTTGAATTGGTAACTCACTGTAGATGTTTGTTTGATCAGCTCCAATACTATCAATTGAAGGTAAGTGATAACTAAGAGGACTACCCTTTTGGTGTTCACCGAAATTTGTTTTAACAGAGGTTGAGCTGTCGTTTTTTACATGGATAACTGGTGCAGCAGGGCATGCCTTTTTAAATTTATCTTGAAACTCTTTAAACATTTCTTTCCTACACTCTGGCTCCTTTCTCTTTGGAGAAGTTGGATCGTAAAGGCAGAGCGATGCATCTCTTCTTGTCTCCTTTCCCACCGATGGTTTCGAAAAATTTAGCTGCATCCAGGGTTGCGGGTTTATTTTAGCACCTCTTGGAACATGCCATTGCTGGGGCTTTGAAGTACAAGCAGAAGCAACATCACTCTCTTTCAAAGAACTTACCACTGCGTAGGCTAAAGCCGAGAGATGATGACAATGTCCTTGTCCGGCTTTGCAAGAACATCTTCTAAAGACAATGCTCGATCCTGAATCGCTAAATTCCAAGATAATTTTCATTTCGTGTGGCTTCTCCGACTTAGACATCGATCGAAAACATTTTCCTTTCAATACACAACATTCAGCTTCTTGAAATGTGACGAAAAGATCGTGAACATAATCTTCTACAAAAAATGCCTGAGCCCTCTGATCTGATTTTTTTTCCTTGATAAACTCCTCCAGGCACTTTTTGGTTAATGTTTTGCAAACCTCTTCACTATTGGCTGACATTCCTGGCAGCCGATCAAGAACAAAGGAAACAATGATTTTTTTGTGCTATCCAATATGGCGGACGTATACCTCCAGTGACCAGTCCCCGCGCAACATGCAAAAGGTCTATTGTAGCGACGTTACTGCAGCTACTTCGCAGCGTTTGAAAGTCGGCAACTGCGCTGCAAAACCGCTGCCGAGAGCTTCAAAGAACCTTCAAAGGCTGCACAGCGCTTTTGCGGCCCGCTGCAACTTGAATGAAGCTGCTGTTTGGCTTCTAAAAGGCTGCTGAACAGCTGTAATTTAGCTGTACAGCTATTTTGAAGCGATTTTGTGGCGCTGTACAGCGCTGCAAGTTTCGTGCGGGTGGTTGTCTGCACAGCGTCTGCTGCAGATCAAGTGCAGACATAATAATAGATCCTTATTGCATAATCACCAAAAGTCACGAAAGGTCTGCAACAGACTTGCTGCAAACAAGATAAAAGGCAACACACAGTCAAAGAAGAAGTCATTTTCATGAGATGTCTGTCACAGACAGTATGCAGACTTGCAGACTTCAGTTTTGCGTCAAATTGGTCTGCTGTATGACTGAACAGACCTGTGACAGACCTGAGAAAGGCCTTCGGCAGATCTGCAAGTTTCGTACGGGGCTCTTTACAACCCTGATTTTGAGTTCAATATGATTTGTCTTTTTAAACTGCTCAATCAGATTGAAGAGATTTATGTCAGCCTTAACTCAACAACATAACTTTGGTGCATTTCTTCACCTGAAAACCTAAACTGTTCAGACCACTAAGGCTTTACACTAACTTCTTTTTAAGAACTTGTTTCTGAAAAATTGCCCATACCTGCTGTACATAAAATTAATTAAAATATGACCCTTTTGTAGTACGTGAGTTGAATTTTTAAAGAATGATTTATTTAGAATTGGAATATTCACACAGTAAGATAAACTTTTTGATGTTGGTTATTTAAATAGGAAATGATATTTACCAAAAATTCACAATCGGTGATTTCTGTGCAAGTGTTATTCTATGTCTGGCACATCTTAAAATTGTACGTTAATTTTTCGAAATTTTGAATTGTATGACGTTTTAACTTATACGTCATTGCTTGTATTAATTCAACCGAACTTGCCAACGAATTCACAACTGAAGATGATAGTTGAACGATCGAAACATGTCTTGTTTTAAACTTAAAGTTGTTGAATAATCACTGATTTGTTTTGAGCAATGATAGAAGATATGAAATAGTACATCTTAACTTTGGATTTGGCTGCAGGCATTTTCTTTGTCCTGCACAAAATTACTTTCCATTTTGACTTTGCCACTAACATCTTCCATGACTAACCCAAGCGAAAACATATCTGAGGCAAAAGATGGTGGCTGACCAAGAACTATTCCTGGTGCTATATGTCGATATCCTTTTCTGTACTCTTCTTGCTCCCGTGCAGTCATCGACTTCCGTTTAGAAGAGGCATCTGATAGCCGAATAGCCTTTCCAAAATCAATCAGCATTGGATGGTAAATATTGTTTATCTCTGTAAGAATAATGTTGTCACTCTATATATCTCTGTGGAGAAATCTTTTTGAGTGCAAATGTTCTATTGCTTCACACAATTTCAGTACAATGCTCCCCGCAGAGCACTGTGAAAGGGACATTGATTTACTCTGGAGGGCACGGTACAAAGTACAAGAATTATTGTAAAGATGGTAAAAATATGACACAATGAAGTAAGGTTTTTTTGTGACATTTACCCCAAACAGATGGGGTATTGATGGATGGGAGCATTGTGCCATAGTATAAGCTTCATTTCTGACATCTTGTAAAGAGGAAAAATGATTTAATACTTCGACAGCTACTGGAATGCCCTTGTAATATTTCTTTACGCACTGACCAAAGACACCTTCTCCAAGTTGAATCAGTTTTTCATTTCCCTCTTTATCTTTCGAAGCGTTCAAGTGATGCCACTCAATTGCAGGAAAATTGGTAATTATGTCTGTGCCAATCAAGGAAAAATTCTGAAACAAAAGGGAAAACAAAGTCACTAGACCCACTAAAAATAACCATTAATTCAAACTTTATTTGATAATAAAGTGAAATTAAATCCATTGTGTTTAACTTGTGTTGCCTATTGTCTTTATGGGCATTATTATCAACACGTGTGGTACCTTACTTGACAGCACATATATCTGAACCCTGCTTTGAACTTACTGGTAAAAAGTACAAGTGATTTTGCAAGAACATAAAGCATGAGTCACTCTGCAAAGTTTAAGGAAACATCAAAAATAAAAATAAAAAACTCTTTACCAGGTCTAAGGTTTTCGGCAGCTTTTCAAACAACATGGGGTTTGAGGTCAATTATTTGCCTCTTGTTATTGGAAACCCACATCCCGAAATGTTGTGATCACCATCTTGAATCATGCATGTTTACTTTCCTAATCCCCACTTTATTTTGGAGAATTCCACTTTGGAGAAGAAGTCAACGACCATGTCCTGACTGTTTCTAGAATCCTGCATTGTATTTTAGTCCCTGGATCCCAGCAATACCCTTTCATACCCTGGGAGAAATGTTGACTACAAGTCAACAATAGCACTGTTTAGGTAACAGATGGACTTCTTCTATACCAGGAAAATTCTACTAATCATGATAAGTATCTCATTTAGCCTGACAAAAAAATTGAAAAAAGGTTCAACCAGTAGCAGAAATACTCGAGACAGTGCTGTACTTAATTTTGGCTCGACTAGACTGCATATGATTTTGTGCTTGTAACCACCCCCTTCTCCCCTCATCAAAGTTAATAGCAATACAAGATCATGATGAAAACTTGAAAGAACAACTTTGAATGGAGGGGAGGGGGAGGTAAGTATTATATCTCAAAAAGTATGACTACAGTAATTTGAAGTTAGAAAGGTTGTTTTTTTCATGGAGTATCTTAACATTCTTAATTTCTTAAATTACCCAACATGATTTCTTACCTTTAACTTTTTTAAGGTTGCAATCTTAATATTAAGAGCAAAGACTCAAGGCTACCCTCTAAGGACAAGAAGGGAGCCCAGTGTTCTAAACCTGTAAAACCTAATAAGTGCCCGGCATATGATTTGTATATAAATAAGTATGTAAATCTCCTGCAGTAAGGCTGACCGAGAGTACTTGGCTGCATAGGCTACACAGTTTCCCAATAGCAGGTATCTCGCACTCTCGTTTGGCCTATGGTCCAATCTCACCGGGACTATCTGAAGTGCATGCTAGTGTTTTAGAGCCTTCATGGCCTGGCTCCAGCATATTTACCTAATGAATTTAGCCACACGTGCCACTTCCATTCATATAACACGCGCCATACGGAGTTTAGCTCCGTCTACCACTAGCTATGACAACTAAGCACCAGGGCTCCTTTACGTTAAGCAGAGCCAATATGTGGAACACGCTTTCTCTGGCCCTGAGGAGCAAGCATGATTTAAATACGTTTGGGTTTGGCCTAAAAAGGTCCCTTAGATCCAAGCCAAATTGAGCCTCCAATGCTTTTGCTATACTTAGTTGTTCCATTTTTTTATCTGTTATTGTCTTTTGAGTTGTTTTTTCTTTTCATCAGGAATACATTCATACCAGCCTCGCTGAACTGGGCATCCCTGAATAAATATTGTTTAAAATAAAATTAATAAAAAGAGTAAGATTATATATCATCCTGGTTTCTTGCAGGCTAGATTTTTTTCACCTAGCTATGTTAAAACCCCATACATTAATATTAACTACAGCTTCAATCATATTATGTTTAATAAGGTACCGGTAAGTTTGTTTTACCATAAGACATATTTCAAACAAAGAGGGAAAGTTCAACTACATTTCTGCAGCAGCAGGCCCGTAGGGAAGGGGGGTACGATGGGTGTGCTTGCACACCCATCAAGCCCCCAGACGTCCACTTTTGTTGATCAATGATGTCTAATTCACTGATTGATTGATTCACTGACTCACGCTTTCCAAGAAAATGTTTTAGTCTTCTTGAAAACGTATAAAAAGGGGATTTGGTATACCTACAAGACATTTACTGTACCCGTTTCAAATACAGTAAAAACCCTCATATAATATATAGATTTAGCCAGGGCTAAAAGCTTAGCTCCCTTTAATATTTACAGTTTTCTCAAGAAATATAAAGTTGAGTACCGGTAATACTAAAGACAAGGTGAACGGTAAAAGACAACAACAATAAGTCTAATTAGTAAAAAAAACAACTTTGCGCATGCAGCACACTTTTTTTTTCTAATTATGGGCTTACTTCTGACTTTGGACGGGCTGACTTCTGACTCCCTTCCCCTCCCCCAGTATCTGTACAGACGGGAGGTCGTCGCTGACGTCAAAACCAGATTTTCTCAGATGGATAGATTACCAAATTTTCTTAGCTATGGGGCTCCGCTTGCACACAAAGCGCGTGCGAGGGGCACCACTAAGAACCTAGAGTTTTTTTAACTTAGGCTACTTGGGTTCTTAAATAGGACTTAATTTGATGCGGGCACTAGTGATCAGCAAAGAAAACTACTACGCGGCATATGTGATATGGAATATATTGCTGTATTGAATAAGTATCTAGGGTACAGTTAAGATGATAACCATACAGTAAATTTATCATCCTAAAGTACTAGTATGCATGTCTCTCATACTGCAGAGTCCATAAAATGCTGTGTTACATTTTGAATCTGTCTGAATAAAACCTGGCCTTTTTTTTAATTTATGTATTTTCATCTGTGCCTTCATTTTTGTAATGGTCAACACACACCGAATTGCGTCTTCGGCCTCGTTCGATTCGTTTCCTCATTGGACCGTACCACCCCGCCAAGAAGAAAAACCTGGCTACGGGCACAAGCAAGCTATCCATTTAGGGGACAATTGGGAAAATCGGAAAAGTACACGAGCGAGTTGAATCACTTAATCCGCCCACATTAATTTTATTTTGCTTACCTTTGTCCGCGTTCCAAATCTGGAGGCGCTTGGTAGGTTTCCGCCATTCTCTCTGAACAACAAATCTTTGTTTTCCTTCCACTTTAAATAATATTTCGTCTTCCATGACCGAAAAACGACCACAGATTCCCGCCGAAATGTAACAAAACTGCGCCAAAGTGAGATAGATACGCAGTATATGGGACATAATGTGCCCACATCAGAGTGCGACCTTTGAACTGCCAAAACATTGCACTTCTTAATAGAATTAAAAAGGACATAGATAAAAAGCGAAACTTTTGTCTACTGAAGAGACTAGCAGTTACAAAAATTCAGCACAATGTTAGATCAATACACAACAAGACTAAAGGAATACAGGATATTTAGACATCATTTTAATTTTAGTTCACCAAAATTTACATTAATGCAATTAATTAACCCTAGACTTGCCATAAATGCGAAAAATAAATACCAGGGCAGTTCTTTGAGTTGACAAAAAATGGGTGCTTAACCCTAACCCTAACCTAGAGCATTAAACATAAACCACAGCATTACCACAGCATTGATAACCTCAAGTTGGGGATTTTAGTGAGAGGAACAATAATGTTATTGTTCTAAAAAGAAAACCCTACATATCACATACATTCTATACTAAGAAAAGGCCATTTTACAGTTACAGGCATAGTTTTGTTCCACCAAATAAATTTCATTACTGGTAAAACTGTTGTAGAGAGTAAATTAATACTGGAAAACAAACTTAATACAGTTATTATTAAGGAGATCAATTTAACGGCCATAATTTTCACCAAAGGAACTGCCTGTTAATAGTCTCGATACTGCACATAGTTGTCAACATCAGACTTTCCTTCATTATTGTTTATCTTTCACGCAGAGAAAAGCACTGGAATTTTTGCTACAGTTACTTGTGAACTAACTTACTTAATATACAGTTTGCAGAACGCTCAAATATTGGACAGTAAACGGACAAGGTCCAGCTAAAATGAACATTTTGTCCAGACAAACTCCACGTTTGCCCATAATTGTGACCAAATGTGTCAATGAACAGCCACAATAATAAATATGTTTTGACATCATGAATTTAAAGGAGCATCTCTAGGCTATCTTTAACATAGCCTGGGACCGGGCTCCGCGTTGAGCTAGCCAACATCACCTGAAACAGCCCATATTTATCTTCAGCCTTGCAATTACCTACATGATTTAATACACTGTAGCTCCAAATATTTTATTTCTGAGATAATTGCATTTACATTGTACCTTTTACAGTCATGGAACCCAGCTCTATAGACACACCCCGGGAGGGGGGGGGGGTACTCAGGATTTCAAGTGACGGGGATGGTCGAATGGAGCCAAAAGTCAAGACCCAAAAAAAGCCCTGGACCAAAAATGCAGACTATTATATAACACGTGCGATGTAAAGCGACACCATAGTTAACTATTAAACAACAGCAAAACACATTTGTTTGTACTTTACTCGCAGAACTACGCAGCAAGGGCACTACCGATTCTTTTTAATACCCCCAAACAATCCCTACTCAAATCAAGCTACCCAAAAGAATACTTGCCATTTTAACTATGTTCACTCAGTCTGTACATGTATTTCTTCTAAATTCCGCATGAAAAGAAAATTTTGGAAATATGAAATATTTCTAAGTTTATACTTTACATATACAATGGAGGTACCCTGCGAGCAGAGGCTACATTTTTGCTGTGTGAGCTCGCATGCAAAAAGTAGCCTCTGCCAACAACTGTTCAATCTTCTATCGTGCATGCGCGAAATTCATCACGTAATTCGCAAGCAAAATTAACATCATGGTCTGTTGTCAAATGGCATTAGTTTTGCCGGAATAAAAAAATTGCAACAACTCCGATTGGCTACGCAAGACTCATGCAGTGCTCTAATTAAACTGGTTAAGAACAGGAAAAAACCCACTTTTTAAATAATTTTGTTATTCGTCCAGATTTCTGGACGGATTTGAACAGTTGTCGGCAGAGGCTACTTTTCGGACGACAGCTCACACAACGAAAATGTAAACTCTGCTCGCAGGGTACAATGGAGGAGGAAATTTGACGATCATCAAAGTCAACATTGCAGTTTGCGGGCAAGAGGGCACACTACAAGAACATGCTCACCATTGATAAGATCTATTGCTGGAATAAACTTTCCATGGATTCTCTGTACTGGTATAAAGGTGGCATCCCATTCACGTTCAAAGAGGTCTTTACACCAGACCTCGACTGGAGCTCCCAGGGAGTGTCTTGAGGGATGTTCTTGAAACCAACGCACTCCAGCTAAAATACAGGTCTCATAGTGACCATTGACAGACACATTCTGATTTATAAAGTAATCAATGACTCCTGCCCTCAAATCAGATCCAGAGGTGTCAATTGCTCCACCAAGTTTACACCAACTTACCAAAACAAATGCTGACCGATCTCCTCTTGACATTTGTGAGCCAAAGAGATCCCCATTGAATTTGCAACAAGCACATCTTTGAAAGTGACACGTAACAGAAGTTTCATCTAGCTTATCAAAAATTGTTTTATAGCGCTTCTTTAGATGGGGAAGAACATCTGGGTCAATGGTATCTCTTGAGCAGGGCCCACAGCATGTGTACATGAGGACACTGTTGGCAATCTCGGCACTTGTTCGTACAGGACCTATAGACAAAAGACTATACACTGGATAACATCTCGAGACAAATGGTCGTGCTCTGATAATGACTGCTCATGAAGACTTCCAGATTGTTTTGAGACAAGTCTGATAAGCAAAGGTTTGAATACACTTTGGAATGCAACTGGCCAGTGTAAATCATTCACATATTGACTTGAAGTGAACTTTCGCATTAACTGAATTTCAACCGCACGTTGATTTGTTCCAAACTCACCAAGAATACCATTATAGCGTTCAAAGCTGAACAGCCAAAATGAATAAAGAGGTCCATAATTCAAGACACAATCTACAAGATGAGAATGCAGATGCATATTCGGTGTAACTCTGTGCTTCCCTTAGAGCTGTTCAAAATTCTTACAAAACTTTAAAAGATACGAGTGAGCTGAAAGTGCCTTCATTTCTGTGATGACTGGACAACAAAGGTAAGAACAAGCCATCACAAAATCTCTCCAAAGTTCTAAGTCATTCCTTGGTAATATATCCCACAAGGCGTATATGGAGAATAGAACAGTAAACGACTTCCACTGGTCTGCTGTAAAGCCTCCATAACTGTTCTCAATTTTTTTGGGCATCCTCCCCACACTGGCTAGAACTTTCAGCTTGTCCATCTTATCTTGGACTTTCTCTAAGTCTTTCTTGTCAAGAACTGGCTTTTCCACATCTAACCAAACATTCTTCATAACATGCTTTGCTGTCCCAGTAAATACGTTGTGCATGGGATCAATAACATGGAAGCGAACACAGTCAAAATAAGGTAACAACGTCAGTTCTGTATACCTTGTTCCATAATGCTGCTCTAGGTTTGAACAATCACCAGCAGATGTTTGCTTTAAAATCTCCTGTGCTTCCTGTCGATGTTCAATGTTTCTCCTTGAATGACATGGCTCAAATCCAGAAAAATCAATTTTAGTACCAACTGACCCTGGGAAAAATTTTTTACACTTTGAACAGCCTTTATTGGAGCCATGGCCAGTAAATCCACAAACCTTTCTTGCTGCTGGAACATCACAGCCAACACAAAGTAGAGCAGCATGAAATTTTTCATTTTCAATGCAACTGTGACTTTGAACACTAATGCCATCCTTCCACAGGACATTAAGTTCAGCAACTATGGGTGGCAAGTATGAATTTATATTAAGCTTAGGTTCATGGGGTCCTGGGATAACACCAACAAGAAAAACATTCTCAGGTTTAAACCTTTCACTTCTAGGAAGGTTCATTAAAACCATATAAAGTGCTCCTACACTATACAGAGAATGTTTGAAGGGCTGAAACCAGTCCACATTAAGCATAAAAGCATAGTTCCTGGGTGATGCTAAATATGGTTGTCCATCAACATACTGCCACTCCTTCCATATTCTTCCATAAAATATGTCGGCAAGCAATCCATTAGGCATGTCCCTACTCCTCCATAATTCACATTTCTCAACAAAACCAGGCCTTTGCAGGAAATCGCGGAGATTGGCAATGACGCTGTTGTAACAGTACACTTTTCGTGTGTACAGCTTAGTTTCACCAGACTTTAATGAAACCTCTTTCAAAAGTGGCTCAGCACATTTTGTACGGCGGAAGTGTTGGCTGTGGTTTGGAAACTGGACAAAGCTGCATTTTTTTGTAATTCTCTTCCCACGAAGAACTTCATAGCAGTCTTCAAAAACATTCAGACTATGGCATTTTGGGCAGACAACATATTTGTAAACCTGTCCTTGTCAAATCCAAGTTGCTTCCGCAGCAAATGCACCGACCTAGGGAACAGCATGGCAAAACTTCCAACAACTGGAAATAGAGTGGTAAGAGAATCAAATACTGCCCTCAAAAAAGAAAGCAGGATTTCCAGTGCATTATCAGATAATGTGCAAAATGACGACCAAAGACATAGGAAAATCAGGAGCTAATGAACAATATCCTTCAAATTTCTACTTGCTATTGATCTTCTGTTAACATCCACTGAGAGAAGTTGACCTTGGTCATGGGGGAAGTCTGTTTCAACATCCTCACCAACAACGTCCCATACTTCTCTAAGTATGTCTTGTGACATCCTTTCATGATAAATAAAGTCATTCTCTGAGTCACTGTCATCCAGATCATGAATTAGATGATAATCGTCTTCCTCAAGATTGTTGATTGAGACACCATCACAAGCTGTTAATTAATACAACATCATTGTGTGAGAAGGGGATACAGTGTGTACTTATAATCAGAGATTACAAGTTGGCTAACTTTCAGAGAGGGCATGCCATCAAAGCAACTAAATTTAGGATCACAGTCTAACCCTAACCCTGACAACATACAGAGCAGGGGCAGTTAGAAGGGCCTGTTTACATGGAGGTGGGGGACCCCAGTTATGGGAGGTAACCCACACGTCAATATACTCTCTCATTTTAAATTTGACCACATTTACATTCATGATAGGTGGGGTGACCTTCCACAAGGGGGGTTTGGTACTCCCTTATATAAACCATATAGATACAGTGTATGTGCCGCCCTTCAGGTTGTGTTTTTGCACTGTTTTGGTCTTAAAACGGGTATACACTTTGCCCATTTTGGTCTGGAATTGGGCATGGTTTTCGGAAAACTACAGAGTGTATGAACATACTTATCGTTTCAATTCCAAATGAGTAGGAAAGAACGAGAAATATGCAAATTAGAAATGGATTTGAACATTTTTTTTGCCTGTGCTCTAATCTAAGTGATGTAGCATAATTTCTGCCTAAAGCCCAGGCCTGAAAACGGGTACTGATTTTAGAGGTCTAGTCTGATAACGGATGTGAAAAATTACATTTTTTGGTCTGAACTCGGGTCAGGTAAACAGTTGCCAGGGCTGTCATTTAGAGATGGAGGCCGGAGGTTTCTCCACCGGCTAATATGAACGTGCCCCCCACTACTTTCAAAGGAAAATAGAAGAAAAATAGAACCAAAAGAAACTCCTAGCTGTTTGATTCCCCGCCTACATTTTGTATTTTCCCGGAAACTTAAAATCTTAATGACAAACCTGAGGCCCTAAATCTAACAGCAGGAAAAATTAAAAAAAAAAAATTAAATACCTGGTTCGGGTACTCCGTTTTCATCAAAATTCTCCGTGTCAACTGGTGTTACATTTGGACAACCCTCTGAAGCAGTGTCATTCCCATCAAGGTCCGAAACAGAATTCGAAATGTGACCACTTTCTTCATCTGAGGATTCGTGTCTGTACCACTGACCGCTTTCTTTGTTGAAGTAAAGATCCAAATGCTGCCTGTATGTCCTAGATGACACATAGTCTTTACAATGTTCGCAGAATTTCCTTTTATTGGACGACATTTAAGACATTTAAGCTTGTAATAAACAACTGGTAAGAGCAGCGCTCTTCGAACTGTAGCTGTGTAGATCTTGTGTTTACGTCAAACAGCTGGCTGATGACAGAGCTGCATAAATAAAAATGGTCGAAAACATGAAAGGTTTGAGCGAATTTACGTAAATGAAAAGGCAAAGCTGCGAATATTCTGGCGCCGCAACGCTAGGTGTAAGAAAGTTTAAAAGTAGCTTATTATGCATAGAGCAATTTCATACTTTTTTCCTTCAAATAGTTGAATTTGAATAGAGTAAAAACAAGTTTGCAGAATAAATGTAAGGAGTTTTACGGAAAGCTTACCGATATGAGATATTTAGGCTTAAGCTCTGGTTTAAACTTATTTTGGCCCAAAAATCTTCTCACGCCTCATGAAACATTTTACACCTTCGCTAGTCACCAGCGACGGCTTTATTAAAATTACACACGTTTTCTGTTTGAATGTAAAATTATCTGAAGAAGTCTAGGCAGACAAAACACGTAGAAGTATTATCACCCCTTAAAGCTACAGTTCACCGAGTGCTGTTAGTTAAAAAAGGAAACAGGCTAACACTGTAGTTTCTGGGCTCGGCTAACCTAGGCAAATGTGTAATCGGATCACGTGGCGCGTTCGTCTCGGATACGTCACAGTTCGTTCACCGAGGATTTCGCCAGCCGACCTCGTGATTTTTGCCCTTAGCTTTGGATCCATTTCCCGCCGATGCTGTGGAGGACCAATGGAACGTCGTATACGTTTCTTAGTGGTTAAAAATTTACTAGATTCTTGTGCATGAAAGACGTTTGAATTTTAGGCGCGATTACTTTGAGCGAAGGGTTTCATCAAGCTTGGTACTACTCGCCATATTTTTTCGATATTTTTTCTCATTTTAACCTTCTGATTTCTCCTTTGTGTCTGCTATGGCGAGGCAAAAGCCCTCCAATTCAAAGCATGTCCTTTACACTACCCAGTCTAGGCCGAAAAAAAGGCAACGTCCTTCTTCGTCGCCTGTGGAAATGGAAGCCCGGAGCAGTCCGCCAGCAGTAGTTCAATTACTGCTTCAAGACGCCCAGAAAACAACTCGCCTGTGGAGGGCGCTGGAACGGTCGAACAATCTCGTACTCCGCAACCGGCCCGGCCAGTCGCCCGGCCATTGATATCGACCAGACCAGCCACGTCGACTCCGACAAGATCTGATCAGATCTTGGCGCCATTGGATTTCACCCCAGTTAACCGTGAAGAAGCAACTGCTAGTGCCAGTAGTATAAACTCCCCAGCCGCTCTCACATGTATGGAGCAGATAAAACAGTTCTTCGCCACCCAAGGGGAGTTTAATAAACAACTGGAGCAACGACTGGAAGAGTTAAAACATCAAACCTCGGGGAAAAGATCTAAACAAGTTCAGCGCCCTACAAAGGAATTAACGGTAAGTGAACAATATGACTCATTCATGTAACGCTTCCTGGGCTTAATGGCTGTCTGCCAACATGTTTGCCCTAGCCTATGACCTGTTCCATCGAGCAAGCACAAAATAAAAACAAAAATCGTGTTGTATTTAAGCCTTATCATCCATGGATTTATTGTCGCGCCACTGGTATCATTCATAGAAAATTTGACTCCCTCCCCCTAGGGACGAAAATTTTTGGCGGGAGTTTATTTTTGCGGATTGGCGGTTTTTTGTGTTTTTGCGGGAACTAATTTTTGCGATTAGAAAACATTGTTTTTTCCCACTGGGAATTGATTTTTTTGCGAGCTTTAAAAAGAACCCAGCATTCATAATATTTTCAATTTTGTTAAATGTTTTTGTTTTAATAATAATAATAATCAACTTTATTATATAAACACCAATGAAATACCAAGTGAGCTTTTGCGCGAAAGCTTGATATCTTCACATGAGAAAATAACATGTTACCTTCACGTGTGAAAATATCACCATTGCTATGGCTTCATAATAAACCACACCTTTCAGACCCAAAAACCATTTAAGGAAAATGGTTTGGCATTTCATTGGTGTTTATGTAATAAATAGAACATGACATGGTTGCTTGGAGACAAAATTTGTCTTCTCCTGTTGAAAAAATTATATAGAAATGTATAAGATTATATAGGAAAGATCTGAAGGAAAACAAAAATAATTTACCTTGAGTTAACAACAACAGCAACAACAATCTTTATTGTGCTCTTGATACAAAAGTGTAAAGACATTAAAAGGAAATAATTGTGAAAAAAAGAGAGCACGGTCACTAAGAAATAGCAAAAGCTAATTGTGCCAAGTGGCTGGGCTATGCGGAAAAGTAACTAGATATCAAATTTGTTTAAAAAACATCTTGCTGGCTGACTGCTGAATTTCAAGTTATCGAGGGTAGAATTACAGTAAATATAGGAAGGAAATCCAGGGGAAATCAATTTGATTCAAGTTAGTGTGAGGTTCGAGTCAGCAAGGGCTTGAGATGGGGGCCAAGTGTAAAATGTTCAAAGTTACTGGTACGAAGGATTGATAGTTCTACTTTCTAGTAGTTTGCTGCCTGAAAGTTTGGTTTCGCTTTCTGTTTTTGACACAGTTTGCTTGCTTTATTGGTTATTAGCTTATTGTTCTCTCTGTTTCCCTGACTGTTTCCTTGTTAATTCATCTTTTATAAGGCTCATGTGAGGGACGTCTATGGTTCACTGACCAATGAGCATGGGGAAGATGTTAAATGGGATCTTTCACAAGATTAAGTTTAGGTTCTTATCATTTTTACTTCTGTTGTTGTTTTTTTTATATCAGGTTGCCAGGTCACTGATTGAGATGCTTAAGTTATGCAGTGTTTGTTTTGAGCTTTTTTGTTGTTGGAGCTCATAAACTATATTTAAAAAAATACAATGGTTTTTACCAAAAAGCAAACTTCTATCATTATTTTTAAAAGAAAAGCTACCATGTATTGTATACAAACTCTTAATTTATTAGGAGTCACAAGTCTTTTTCATATGCACCCCCTCAGTATCAAAATAATAAGGGATTACCTTAATTTGGGATCTTACGCACAAAAAGAACCCTCTTTCCAGAAAAATACTTTGCCTAGCCACTCAGTTCTCACACAATTTTTGCCATCGAATTTAGCTTTAATCACAGAGATAACCAGGTTGTACATGCAGCTATTATAGATGGAGTGCGAAGTACAGAAATTTCTGCACCAGTATCGCTCATAAGAGGTAAGTGTATTCCTGCAGTGTAATTACTCAGATTTGGCTCTGTAGAATATAATAATTACAGTAGATCATATGTATTAATATGGTGGAAAATTACAGGAATCTTTGTCCAACTTGAACCTTGAGTCTTCTGGGGTGGATCACTCCAGGATTTTAGCATAAGGGGTTCAATGAAAAGGCAAGGCGGCCACCTTGTAGGGGGGTCTGGGGGCATCCTCCCCTAAAAAATTTTGAAATTTCAAGTCCTCAGAAACGTGATTTCTGCCATTCTGAGGCGAAGTCAGCTTGTTTGAATATCTCATTTTTTAAAGTGAAAATGCCATTCTTTTTGCATCAAAATATCACTGAAAGCAGTGAAACAACGATGCATATTTGCATTTGTAAAACTATGATAAAAATATAGTGCATTAATTTCGCTATTTTCAATTTTGTGTTTCACGAAACATGGGATCAACAAGAAGCATTCTTTGGTATCTTTCCGCAAAAAAAACTGAACCACAGCATCGTAGTCAATGGGCTTTTCGTAAAGAATGTTCATCATAGCCAAGCCTAACAGTCTTTCTGTTGTCATGGTGGTGTGTAAATATCCTTTGACAAGCTTCAAAGCTGCACCTTTTTCTCGCTTGTTGTCAGCTAGAGTGACTGATATAGTGCAAGCAATTCGCAGCAAACAGTTAATGTTAAGGAAAATGTCAGTGAAACAAAAGTGTATTTGTTTTTTTATGGAGAAAACGTTTTAGCTTTATTGAGCAGTAGAGGCTTAACTTGGTAATGAATACATTGCATTTTAGATTGACCCCCCCCCCCCCCCCCCCCCCCCCCCCAGATCCGCCACATTTCTTGGTCCTTTTAAGAAAGGACTTTTTTACTTATGGTAATAGCAGTCAATAATTTTTATATCTGTTTTCCTGAATGACAGCTGCTATTAGGACCCATTTTAAGACCAAGAAGAGGCAGAAAAAAATCAAACAAGGAAACAAGGAGAAACAGGTCCTGAAAGAGCAGCGAATCAGGAGCAGAAAGAATACAGTAAGTACAGTGAAACCTGTATTAAGCGGACAGTAGCTGAAGTCCCAGAATGTATTTCCCTTATTTGCTTTAAATGAAACCTTTATTAAGTGGACACCTCTATTAAGCGGACGCGGCTCCTAAAAAGTACCTGAAATGGACATTTCTATTGTTACCAACCTGTATTAAACGGACACTTGTAATCAAATGCCACCACCCAACATGGCAGACACTGGAAATGCGAAGATTCAATTGCCTCGAATTGCCACCCACAAATGTTTCTATTTTTACATTAAAAAACGTGACTTGACAAACATATTTGATTAGTTTCACAGTACAGTATTGTTTTCTATTTCGTTTTGTTTGTATAGAGCTTTTTTCGTTCATCTGATTTCTTCAAATTTGGGTCGCAGTCTACTGATCCACTTACAGATCAACTGATCCACTTTGATAAAGAAATTAATGCAAACGTATATCGTCAAAGTCTCTGAGAGTATTCTTAACCTTTCCACTGTTCATTTAAATGGCATTTGACACCTCATCTATCGAAACCTGTATTAGGCGGCCACCCTGTATTAAGCAGACACTACAGCATTCCCCGAGGGTGTCTGCTTAACACAGGTTTCCCTGTATACAGTGAAAAGTGGGAAAGTGAAATCAGTTGATAGTTTTAGATTTTAGTTTTATATGCACATTCCAGCAAATGTAATGAACAGTGAAATTTACTGTCTAGGTAGTTTTTTTTTAAATTTCCGCTAGCTCAGTTTTGTTGAAATTGTTGTAAATACCTTTTGATGGTCTCACTCATAAATAATAATTTTTGTTTGTTACAGAAACGACTAAAGAGACAAAAGGCACTTGTACAATCTACATCCATTCCGAACGAGGAGAAGAGGAGGTTTCAATATTGTATGAATGTAGAATACATGTCTTCAGAACATTCTGTCTCTGAAGACAATGCAGATGAAGAAAACAGCTCTGAGGATGAGAATGTCCCCAAGAAAAAGGTGCTCTGTAGGAGGCCTCTACCTTGGAGGAGCCAAGAACTGAACAACTTTTTTGTAAAGCTGGACCGGGAAGCAAACCGGAAACGGTCGCAAAGAAGTGCCTCAATGACCATCCAGAGGAGGGATGGCTCCCCCTCAGAGAGAGAGGCACCAGACGATGCCCCTGAATTTGCTCTGTCGTAAGGAAATGAAAGTTACTCCAAAGCTCTTGAATAACTCCCATGTTATTTATGACAGGTCACACTTACCAATACGTGTAGCTCTGCAAATATAACTCCCATTTATCCATCTCAGCCTATGGTACTTTTTTGACCAAATGTCAGCCTGAGTGTTCTTAATCCACTTGTTCTTTTATGCGGGTTTTTACTGTTCTAAAACAGTATTGATTACGTACTTATTTTGGGTCCAACAACAGTGACAATGGTTATGTTAAGATGCTTTGGAATACTTACAGCTAGTCATTTCTTTTAATGACCCTCAATTTCCTTACAACAGGGCAAATACAGACTGCTCCTTACACATACACAAAAAAAGAAATGAAACGATTTTGTTAACTGATTTGCTTTGAGGGCAATTTCCCTTTCTTTAAAAATGATGAGAAAAAATTTTTAATGTTACTTTTATTAATTATGTAAATAAAATCTTTCCAATATGCCATTACACAGTGTTACAGTGGCGGATCCAGGGAAGGGGCTTGGGGGCCCATCCCCCCTCCTTATTTTTGACCAAACTGAGGCCCGATGGGCCGAAAAAAAAATTGTGGAAGACGCCCCCGCCCCCCTTTTATTCCAGGGTCTGGATGACCTCCCCCCTTCCCTTATCTGGATCTGCCATGGTAATTACAAGCCCNCTGAATTTGCTCTGTCGTAAGGAAATGAAAGTTACTCCAAAGCTCTTGAATAACTCCCATGTTATTTATGACAGGTCACACTTACCAATACGTGTAGCTCTGCAAATATAACTCCCATTTATCCATCTCAGCCTATGGTACTTTTTTGACCAAATGTCAGCCTGAGTGTTCTTAATCCACTTGTTCTTTTATGCGGGTTTTTACTGTTCTAAAACAGTATTGATTACGTACTTATTTTGGGTCCAACAACAGTGACAATGGTTATGTTAAGATGCTTTGGAATACTTACAGCTAGTCATTTCTTTTAATGACCCTCAATTTCCTTACAACAGGGCAAATACAGACTGCTCCTTACACATACACAAAAAAAGAAATGAAACGATTTTGTTAACTGATTTGCTTTGAGGGCAATTTCCCTTTCTTTAAAAATGATGAGAAAAAATTTTTAATGTTACTTTTATTAATTATGTAAATAAAATCTTTCCAATATGCCATTACACAGTGTTACAGTGGCGGATCCAGGGAAGGGGCTTGGGGGCCCATCCCCCCTCCTTATTTTTGACCAAACTGAGGCCCGATGGGCCGAAAAAAAAATTGTGGAAGACGCCCCCGCCCCCCTTTTATTCCAGGGTCTGGATGACCTCCCCCCTTCCCTTATCTGGATCTGCCATGGTAATTACAAGCCCTTTTATAGAGTTCAAGGTTAAAATGCCACCAGAATTATAAATTTTGTTTCTTTAAAAAGTGACAATTGTGTTATTTTGTACTAAGTAAAACGGCTTTTTTAGCGTTCCAAGTAGATTGAAGAGGATTTCGTCATGGGCTATAACAGTTTTAGTGAATAAAAGTTTCCTCCATAAATAACTATTGTTTGGAAAAAGGAAATGATGGCACAACTCTGAAAACAAGTATTTAGAATACGATTAGGAACATTTTTCTTATTTAAATCTAATATTAGTTAGTATTGATCTGATACGTACTTATATAAATATATATATTGACATACATACTTTGTAATTTGTTCTGCTTTCAGAAAATTAATAGATGTCTGAGCTAACTATGGTTTATAGATTAAATCATTCGAACAGAATTTAATTCTTGGTCACTACTTGTGGTATTCCCCTCAATAATGTTAAAGTTTGAAAGCATATACTTGTTAAGAACTCAGACTATATAATGAAATTATTTGTTGTCCATCTACTAGAACCCAATGAAAGGTGTTCAAACCTTGGACGTTGAATATTATTTGCTACCTGAGCAAACCATGCTCTAATTTGAGAGTTTAAAAACATTTGCTAACCCGGGCAATGTTCCTGCTTTAACTATATTTGCTACCTGAGCAAACATGTTCAATATTAGAAGATTTGACGACGTTTGCTGGCCGAAGCAAAGTTGGACTTTTGATTATATTTGCTACCTGAGCAAAAAACTGTACAAAAATATGAGTTTGATCAGATGTGCTGCTCGAGCAAACTTGTTTAAAACTTGGATTTTGACCACATTTACTAGAACCCAATGAAAGGTATTCAAACCTTGGACGATGAATATTATTTGCTACCTGTGCAAACCATGCTCTAATTTAAGAGTTTAAAAACATTTGCTAACCCGAGCAATGTTCCAACTTTGACTATATTTGCTACCCAAGCAAACAAGTTCAATATTAGGAGATTTGACGACGTTTGCTGGTCGAAGCAAAGTTGGACTTTTGATTATATATTGCTACCTGAGCAAAAAACTGTACAAAAATATGAGTTTGATCAGATGTGCTGCTCGAGCAAACTTGTTTAAAACTTGGATTTTGACCATATTTGCGCTCCAAGCAAACTTTCTCGAATTTAGAGTTTGATCACATTTGTGACCACTAGAAAATTTAGTCAAAGTTGTGGTTTTTCTAACATTAGCTCCGTGAGTAAACATGTTTAATGCTAAAAGTTTGATAACATTTGCTATACAAACAATCCGGTTCGCTGATAAACATTTGATCATCCTTACCACCCCAAACAAACGTTGTTCAGATTTAATACTTTGCTCACATTTGTAACGTTGTGTAAACTTAATAAAAATAACAGGTTTACGTGCTTTTACAACTGGGGCAAAGCTGCACAAAACAGGAGATTTGCGCTCATATTTGCATAGTAAGCAAAGATAGTTCAAAGAAACACATTTGCGTCCACATTTGAACCATCTGTAAATGATCCCTAAATTCGTGACTACACATTATCTTTGCACAAAGATGTAAATCTTGTGCAAGTGTGGCATTTACTGTCATTGCCACGGATAGCAGATCTAGTGCAATATCAGTCTTTGCTCTTGAGCAAAGTTGTGCAAATGTGGTATTTGCTACACTTTTGCTGTAGTTTGGTTACCCTTGTAAATCCATTTTTTCGTCCAGTGTATATAACCCCGGAAAAGCTTTGAATAGGTCGTGCTGATAAGTCAGAAATGTGTAAAATTGCTCTGTATCTGGGTTGTCATGGCAATTTTTGGGAGTGGAAAAGGAAGCAGACTGAGAGATTGTTTTCCTTTCTCATAATACGTGAGTTAATATATAGATTTAGTCAGGGCATAGTTATTAGAGGAGACTGGTTATGAAAAGCGGCAAACATCAATGATAAAAACAACAGTGCTGCAGTTTATGTTGGAAGCACCCTGAAAGTGCACAATCCTTTGTTTTCTGTTGGCAAATTGTTACGGAATAAATTAATGCAACGTTTTTATTGGTCAATACAATCAAAATGATAGGAATTCTTTTGAACGTTGTGCACTTTCAGGTCCACAAAAACATATAACAAAGGAGTCTGACGGGTTTCATAACCATTCCACTCAATTAACTATGGTCAGGGCTAAAAGCGAAGCTCCCGTTAATAAATTCATAATGATTTAAATCAAACAATAAACTTGTAATCCACAGATCAGGGCACATTCACGTGACTTTTGAGGCAAAGAAAAATAAGAGAAAAATAATTTGACAGTCCAAGAGTGAAATAAATTTTACATCGAGTTAATAGTCTTATTTGTACACCTAAAATAGCAATCATGTTCGATCACAGTAGATATGGCCTGGAAAACAAGTACACCTATTCGTGTATTGTATTTGCATTAGCTGTTGCATCATAATGTGGCATTCACTTTGCTCCGTTTGAGAGACTATGAATAATTGGACAACCCCTAAATATAATTTTAAGAAACACGCGCCACGATAGTCCCAGGTGGCAGCCAATTTACACGTTGCATTCCTCTGTCTAAAAGGGAGGCCAAAATAAAAAATCAGGCCGGATTTTTTGTGTTCGACAAGTTTACTTTACAAGTAAATCTAGGCGACGAATCTGGTGGCGGGTAAACATGCCTTTTAAACATACTTTTTCTCATCACGTCTCAGGTAAACAGCTGTGAGGCCCTTTTTATCATACAGCGCTCGGACAGAAGTTTTCTTTTTTGCCCTATTTAAACCTATAATTCTGCAATTTTTCACAATTTTGCAAGACAAATTGCACTCATTCAATATTTAAGACGATCAAAGCACGCACTTCTTTTGCACAACAAATTATAGCATTGACCACATTATAAAACGTTTTCATGAAGAGAATTCCATAATGCCGGGACTTTTCAGTTAGAAAAATCTGGTCCTATGTGATATGCAGGGTATGGGCTTTTAGTGAAAACGATAATAAAAAAAAATTTCCAAAATCACCTTTTCGGCCAGCCGGACTGGTTCTCACTTTTGACAGGCACCAAATTTGCAGTGCGATTAATAGAGTTACATTTACGCTTCAACATGATAGAGAATTTGTTATGTTTAGGTTTTTTCCCTTTATTTACAGTACTGTGCAAAAGAAATGCAAACGAAATTAGGTGTTTTTCGTTCTTTGTTCTCGCGAAAATTCGACGAAATTTCGCCACGAAATTTCGTCAAAGCGCTTGCGAATTTTCGTCGAGTCAAACGAAATTTCGCTGTCACCTTGGCTGAAGCGACATTTCGTCGGAGCGAAAAGTCGCAACTGCGAAATTTCGGAGAAGGAAAATTCGCAGCTGCGAAATTTCCACAAAGCGAAATTTTGCTGGCAGTGGAGGAGGGTTGTAATGAAAACCTTTCGTTCGGACCGCTTTAAACCATTAGCCCGAGTAATTTATTTAGTTTAGACCTCAGTCGCAAGCGCGGCTTTAGAGGTGAGAGTTTTCATGTAAGTCAAAAGCAAAGTTGTTTTTTTTATTCGGCGGAATATTTCATTAGGGTCTGAAAGATAAAATATTAACCTGTTTTCAGTTATTATCGTCTCAATACCCTAAACCATCAGTTCGAAAAACCAATAAACTAATCCTTAAAGAAAGGCTT